TTAAATTCCCAGTTTCTGGACCTGCAGCAAGATACTTAAACTACTGCTGGCTGGATAGCTCAGTGAGTTAGGAATCTGGCTGCAGACCCAGAGGTTTGTAGTTCAGTTCCTGCTGTCCACTGTCCCAGGATGTCACCAGGAGAAGGGAATGATAAACCTGAATTACTCTCTAACTAGAAAACACTGAAAATTGTCACCATAAGTCAGAATTGACTTGATGGCACACATTTATTATTTTCTTTATTACATAGAGAAAAATTGGTATTTCAGGCAGTTGAGATGATAAGGCAAGATGACCCAGAGGATTTGTTGTTACATTCTGATTTTTTAAACATTCAACGTACTGTGCACAGAAGTACCATTTTGATGTTCTTCAAGAAAGACTGCAATAAAGCGGGATATGACCTTGTAGATTGTTTTTTCCCTTTCTCATAGGTTGTTGTTTCTTTCTGTCTATTTTCACATGCCTTCAGTTTTCTAGGATATGCTAGTGGACAGAAATAAATTATAAAAACACTATACTGGGAAAAACTGAGGCAAAGCAAAAGGCAAAAATCATGACAGCCTTTGTATGGTTAGGCTTGAAGTTCAGCACTGGAAAGATAAGAGTTTTGTCAGGAAATCAAGATAGTACATATTTTTACTTAGACTTTGGAAATGAGTAATATGACATTGTGCTGTTTCCCCCCCTGTAACAAAGTTGTGGCATGAAATGAGCTTTTAGTGGTGGTTTTATGGTATTTTATTGACATGGGTGTACTCTGCCTGGGAATCAAAAATAGAATTGTACTGTTCTTTAGGTCTATGACAGCTGTGTTCCCCTGCTAGAACCTCCAAATACATATGGCAATGTTTTAAAATTGAGTTTGCTGAAAAAGTGATCTAAAACTGGGAATAGAGTGTATGTGTATAAATAGGGATTGGGATCATGAGTTAGGATAATGGGGTTCTGGAACAATTTATTGTGTTTCTTAAAAGAACAACTGCACCCACTCACCCCAAACTCCTCTCTGTGTATTTTTATGGAAATTTGATTTTCTATAAAAGTGATGTCATGTTAAAAAGAAATAAGTCAACTAGTTCTGCCTTCTATTAAGAGAAATCGGTAGAGACAATGAGAAAGCTGTGCATTGGTCTAATATGCAATTTGCCAATTGTTTCTACTGGTTCAAATTCCCCATAAAAGTAACTGAAGTAGAGGGGGGGTCCTGATCAAAACAGTTTGAGATCTTCCAAAAGTTTTTCAAACTGCCCTTGTTCTTATTCCTCCTGAAGACAGTAGCAATCACAGACTATTGGTACAGTATTTTAACAATTATATGGCTTATGAGGTCCTTGGTAATTTGGTGTAAAATCTACTTTGGAAACACCTTAACCCAAGCCATGTTAAAATGAATTTGCTACAATATCATAACTGGTTTGTGATCTCATATTTTATTTAAATTACTGTCTCAAAACTCAGTGAAACTGCAGATTGTTTTAAAATTGCTTTTAAAGGTCACTCAAAACCCCTTATTTGGTAACTAAATAAAAGTAATGTTGAACTCACAGCAAGCAGTAAGGCGTTGCTTAATTATACCTTGACATTTAATTTCAGGTCTTTGAAAATGGTTGAATGCATATGTGTATCAGCGTATTCATATACAGATATTTTTTTTAAAAAAATCTATTTACTAAGGCTGCATGAACAAGAGCAAGACAGTATGATTTCAAAGATGCTGCATTAGTGGGGGAAGGGTGATAAAGCTATTCTGCAGACTAGAAGGTTTACATGGAAATTCTTGCCTTGGAATATTATACTGGCAGAATAAAAATAATATAATCTTTCTTCCCTCACTTACACACAGGGTATAATGCAAGATGTGCAATTACTTGTCATGCCTCAAGGATTTATCTCTCAGTGCCCAGATCTTAATCGCAGTAAGTCTGTTAGTTCTTACACCATAAAACATAATGTGGTGCGTGTTGTTTAGTTTTTCCCCTCCAGTAAAATCTCTCTTCTAAAATGTAATGATTATCAGCTAAATCCTGATGTACAGCCAAATCCTATACACATCTATTCAGAAGTATTCCCTGTTAAATTCAGTGAGCTAAGTGTGCATAGGATTGTACTTTAATAGAAGTACAATTTGACGGATGTAGTTTTTGTAATTTCAGCATGTCCAACGTGTAATGACTTCCATGGGCTTGTGCAGAAGATTATGGAACTACAAGATATTTTAGCAAAAACCTCTGCAAAGGTAACAGGCTCATTACAAACTTTATGGGTGATGATTATGGGCAAGTTGTATGGCTCAAAAGGTTGTGTGTGCGCATGCACACACACGCACAACTATACACTTGTGTATTTTTATTGGTTCTTGCATAATACTTGCCTTATTTTTTTATTTGTTCTTTGAATGGAAAACTGAACCAAATTCCTTGAGTCAGGAATGAATCATAAATATTCAGGTTGTTTTAGAACAATAACCCTGCCAATTTTAACAAAGCGATTTGTGGTTTAGAAAACCAATGGGAATGGAAGAATTGGCTGAAACCTCTTTAAGCACAAATTCTTCATCCAAGTACTCCCCCTCACTTTGATCAATCTTGGCACTGCCAAACACATTGGCCAAGAGAATGCAACTCCATGATTATTTTTTTTAAAAAAATGAAATCATCCTTATGCCATTAAAAGAAGCTTTAACATACTGGTATAACAACAAACTGAATATTGCTTTTTTGGAGTCTCTTGTGTTACATGTGATGGACAATATTGTGAATTGTAGTTAAAAAGGCAGATAAAACTTTCAATTATATTATGTTTTATAGGAGTTTTAACTATTTGTGATGATACCTAACTTTTTTTTTCGTATACTCAAATACTGAATAATTTTCTTTTAAAATCTGACATAACATGACTGTACTTGAAATTCTTCATCTTTAGATTGTTATGAGCAGTAAACAGAATTACTAGGGACTCTTCTCTTTAGGCAAGGTCTAATATTAGTCTTACATAAAGTACACCTACTAAAATTAGTGAGCCTTGTTAATCACATCTACTTAAAATATATTGAGGAAAATCCTATTGTGTAACTTTGCCCGATCATAACCTGGATTGGGTGCTGGAAGGATTTATTTCACACTAATCAGAAGCTTTCTCTCCCCCTGCTTTATGCTCCAAGGATTCCTAGGGTTCCCTTTTGCCCTGAGGAATCCCTTGGGAATGGAAGCCTTTAAAAGTCAAAAATTGCTGCCAGATAATGATTTATCATAGGACTGCACTAGTTTATATTATTACATTAACACAACCCAGTGGCTCACTAGCACAGTTAGAAATTCCACCCTTTTGGACCCCGACACACATACAGAAGCAAAATAACTACCCGGAATCCATTAAAATATCTACCTTTAACAGAAGAAATACAAAAACAAGAAGAGCAAGCAAGCACATAAAATATACCCAAAGCCCCCGACAAAACAAAGCTACTAGAAAACTCCGCACCACTTGATGCCTTCTCATCATGCAGCAGCAACAACAAGTCAAGCAGGCAGTGCACTCCTCGCTAGGATCAAACCAATTTAGGTCCTTTGACATGTTCAAAATTTCTGCTCCCCTTCCTGGACATTATAATTTGCTGCTGACCACAGTCCTCACAATACTGTTAATTGAAAAGTTTCCCAGCTTTAGATAGACAAAGGGTAAAAGAAAGTTTACACAAAAGAGGAAACATGAAGAAAGACTGAAACTTTTGTGTCTACCTCTTTAATTAATATGAATCATTTGTGTTTTAGAAGCCTTCTTTTGGGAAACAGTTAAAGAACATGAAAGCAAAGAAGAATGAGCCTGTTTTGTGTTTTTAGGTCTTTTGTTAAAACACGTAAGACTCATCCATAGTGAGAAATGTAGAAGGTATCTAGGCCATGTCAAAATGCACTAGCATGAGGAGTGGATACTGTTTTTGGACAAATGGACCAAATTGGCTTATTTGTACAATGACAGTATGGAGCAAAGAGCAACACCCCTATACATCCACTTGTGTTCCATCCTATTCACGAATTTAAACGTTTTTAGTCCAAGACCCCAGGTGTTTGAACTAAGGAATTGGATATTGAAAAGACTGAGCTGGTGATGCCAAAGGAAAAGGTGAGTGATAGTTTAAAGCTCAAGAACTGTCCTGGCCACAACCTGAAGCACAAGGGAGTTTAGACTGCACACTGTATTATCCCTTGGAGCCAATCCATCAGTGGTTTCACATAGGTATACAGCAAAGTAAAAGATATTCAGTTTGTGGCTATCTGGAACCCAAATAGAATATGTTTTCTGCTCTGTTACTTAGCTCGTTAATTCTCAACAAGGGCCATATGGCCCTCTGGGGCCTCCAGGTACATTTCAATGGCTTCCCTGTGCAGTCTGACATAGTGCTTGCTGATGTTGTCCAGTATTTCAGTATTTTGAAATAGAATTTCATGTCCAGCTTGTTTTAGGGAACAAACAAAAAAATCTGCAGTAGCTGAACATGCCCTAAAACAAGCTGGATATGAAATTCTATTTCAGAATACTGAAATACTGGACAACATCAGCTAGCACTATGTCAGACTGCACAGGGAAGCCATTGAAATCCACAAGCACCAGCAGAACTTCAACAAAAAAGAGGAAAGCTTGAAACTCAACAAAACTTGGCTCCCAACTCTCAAAAATACAGTGTGCAAAAGGTCAATGAACTCTACCCAGCCACAAGAACCGGGGATCACTACATACAAAAGACCAGCTAATGACACCCATCAATCACAGTGACAGATAATCTCTGCTCCTTATCACAACAATACACCCACAACAAGACACAATAATCACCCATCTCCAGAAAAGGACAAAAGCCTATCTCACAGCCATAAATACTCCACTCCCAAGCAAACTACACCAGAGCACAGAGTGCTGTCCTCTGAAAATGCCAGCCATAGATACTGGCAAAACGTTAGGAAGAACAACCTTCAGAAGACGGCCAAAGAGCCCGAAAAACCCACAACAACCATATGATGCATTTGTTTCCTAAGTCTTCTGAATTATATGCAAAGGAAAAATCAATGTTTTCCCCCCACTATAACTAATTTTATAGGGGATTACTTTCAAATGAATGTGTACAGAATTGGCTATCAAGGGAGAAAGAGTTAGCTGCTGATGGAGCAATAGAGTACAGTGGAAGAAGGAGGGAGTGGTCTCCTTTCTCCCCAGAGCTCCCTGTGCACTCCAAAAAATCTGCCCTTGGGAGTGGAATGAGGGAGCAATTTCCCCTTTGTATGTGCTGCAGCACATGGTTTTGGCCCTGTGGTGGAAATCCTACCAGTATTACCTGGAGAAAATACACATCAGATACCATTATCATTGCTAATTCATAACGAAATGTATGATTGAAGGGGAAGATATGTATAAATTGACCAAGCCATCTGCTGTGAATGTTTATGATGCATCTGCCCCCCAATAGGTTCTCCAGAGTCCTGGTCCATCACTTTATCCACTACATCACACTGGGAATCGCTCATACTCATTCATTTATTGTCTCCCTTGGAATAAATGGAACAGGAGAAAAATGCAAAGATTTCTGAACTAAAGCTTAAAATTGTCAAGTCAGGACATAAAATATATTGCATTCGTTGTTACAGTGAGAACATGTGTTGATTTTTACTGTGAGATGAATTATATTTTAAGCTTACAATTTTCTTTTATTGTTTTCCAGAAATTTTGCTTTTATATTTCAGTATATCATTTATCTGCTTGAGCAATGCACAGTATTATGTGTGGCTTCAATGCTATTGTAGTTTTAGGTAAACACTCCTATAGGTAACAGATTCCTCTTTGTGTACCCAGCTGTCCCGAGCTGAGCAGAGAATGTCTAGGTTGGATCAGTGCTATTGTGAAAGAACCTGTACTATGAAGGGTGTGACCTACAGAGAATTTGAATCTTGGACAGATGGCTGTAAGAACTGCACATGCATGGTATGGCTACAAACCGAGCAGAAATTCAGGGACCTAGTTGTACAGTATGCTAAACACATCTCATATACAGATAGGAAATGCTCATCAATGTATTGTGTTTTTAGCTGTATTTGTTTTTTCAAATAATTTTGTAAGCTCACTTGGGTCCCTATATTGGGGAAAAATCAGGATATAAATAAAGTAAAATAAGAGGCAAAAAAAACTACACTTATAAAGAGATTTTATCTACATTGTTCCTTGTGCTTCATTTTGCACTTTCTCTAGAAAAGTCACTTTCCTCTTCTGATATGTGTGTGTACAGGAACACTGTTACGCCTATGATGGATGGAGGAAGGAAAAAGACTTGTGGGGGAGGCTGGTAAAGCTAAATATATCACACTGACAGTATGTCCTGCTTCTAGTTGATGTTGCACTCTGCAGTGTGCTCTGGATCAGGATATGAATGGGCAGATTGTAGGGAAGGTTATTTTTCTTCAAGTGATCCCCTTGAAAGGGGTCATCCCTTGGAGGGAATTCGAAAGTGTTCAAGATGAAATGAAACTGTTTAAGAGTTCGCTATCATAAAATGAGCACAGGAATGGATATAATGTGGCTTTAGGATCAAATTTAAAAGGATATGTTTCTGAAGTGCTGTGTGTGCCTATGTGTGTACAGGGTTTTTGTTCTGGTCTGCTTTGCTTTTACACAGTTGCTCATCTAGTCTTGAGCAATTAATGTATTTGGAGCTAATCAGTAGTACTAGAAGAGGAAGCAATAAAGTTGCAGAAAATCCAGAAAATATAAATATTGCTTCATTTGATCAAAAATTATTTATTTATTTATTTATTTATTTATTTAACATATGCCGCTCACACTACCCAAAGGTCTCTGGGCGGCTTACAACAATTAAAATAAAATAAAAAAGATAAAATATTTAAAATACAATTAAAATATACACTCTAAAAATTGCCATCAGGACCCACAGTTGATATTATTTCAATTAAAAGCCCTCTGGAACAGGAACGTTTTGACCTGGCACTGAAATGTCATCAGCATCAGTGCCAGATGACTCTCAATTGGGATGGCATTCCATAGTCTGGGGGCAACTGCCGAAAAGGCCCTTTGTCTACAAGCCATCCCTCTTACCTCCTTGATGGATGGCTCTTTCAAAGGGCCCCCTGGCTAGATCTTAACTGCTGGCTAGATTCATATGGAAGGAGGCGGTCCTTCAGGTATCCAAGGCCCAATCCGTTTATGAGACACTAAACATATAATCCAAAGATCCACATCTTTCTCTTTTATAATTATGAATGATCTATGCTGTGTAACTGAAGCCTTCTTAACATTGCAAATAATAGGGCAGCTTGTGCTCACATAGAGTGTACTAAACTCATTGAATTAAAGCAGTGGTTCCCAACATTGAGGTCTAGATGTTTTTGGACTACAACTCTCAGAAATCCTGACCAGCACAGCTAGTGGTAAACACTTCTGGAAGTTTTAGTCCAAGAACATCTGTGGACCCAAGGTTGGAGAAGCACTGGATTAAAGTGATGAATTGTTGCAGCAACTGCAGAATTTCAAAGGGTGATATTATTATTTAAACACCCGTAACGGCTGTCTTGTGACTAGTGCAGGAAAGATTTTATTCAGTAGCACTCTTCTACTTTAGAATAATCTCCCAGTCTTCACAATTGGTAGAATGAATAACAAATGATAAAATTTTTAAAACACCGTAATGTTACTGTCATTATATAAAGAAGCTATTATGCACAGATCAGAAGTCTATTAAGTCTGAAAGAGAAGTATAGAGATTCCTTCATAATCTAAAGAAGAAAAATAGTCTATGGTTTATTTATGTTTGAGAAGTTATATTTTAAAGAAATGTGTGATTTTTAAATACTTGCTTGCATGATTGTGTTCAAGTAAGTTATTTTTAAATGAATCTTCTGTTCTTCCTAGAATGGTACTATCCAATGTGAAGCACTGATATGTCCACCTTCGGATTGCCCTCAGAATTCTGCACCTGCATATGTTGAAGGCAAGTGCTGCAAAGAATGCCAACGTGAGTGTTTTTGTTTGTTTGTTTGTTTGTTTCTGTAGATTTTAAAATTGTTCAGCATTATTATATTTATAAAGCTGGTGTTACTTTTTTTTTCAAAAGTCCATTATGGTCAATACACTTCCTTGATGATAATCTATCCAAAGATAAGCATGCTGAAATTTCATTATCGGCAAGACTTGTTAAATTGCTTACATTCCTTTTGTGAAACCATTGGGACTTGTTCTTAGCTTTTTTTTCCCTAACTAATGCTTGTTTTAAAATCACCTTTACAATCTGTGTGAGTAATGAGAAAGAATGCTTTCAGACCACTAGGGATTAAATGTGCTTTTAACCACTAAAACAGGATTTCTGGACTGGCACTAGGAAGGATAGATGGCTAAAATAGTTGGAGCCAATACAACAGTGGAACCAGTTACCTCAGGAATTGGTGAGTGCTCCAACACTGGAGGCATTCAAGAAAAACTTGGATAATCACCTGGCAGATACGCTTTGATTGTATTCCTGTGTTGAGCAGGGGGTTGGACTTGCTGGCCTTGTAGGCCCCTTCCAACTTCACTTTTCTATGATTCTATAAAACATGAGATCTGTTACAATGCCATCACAGTAGATTTTGCAAAAAGTGTATGAACAATCTCAGTCAAATCTCTATAATTCATATCTTTTTCCTCTAGTGCTGCTCATAAACATGCACAAATTACTACTGCAGAAGGGAGACTGAAGTAACTTGCCACACTTTCTTATTACTCTCTAATTAAATACAATAGTATAGATACTAATGCCTAAACCTTCATCTCACAACCTTGTCCCTGATAAATCCTGCAACAGTTATTGCACTGTGAGACTGAGCAATTTAACCAGGCAAGATTATGAATGATCAGAGACACACTCATTAAACATGTACACTTGTTATTTAAAGAAAAATCCACAAACAACAGAGGGTGGCAGTGTAATTGGAAAGATGCAGGTAAATTTAGATACTTCTCTGGAACCTGCAGGATGCTGATCAGTTTAGGACAGAAGATCCAACAGACAAATGTGTGAATTTCTTGCCTGTGAGATGTAGTATATACAAATCAAATTACTCATGTTTCATTTCTGCCAAACAAACACTTTAAATAACCAAGCCACTAGAGAAGTCCTTGATATATGAAACAAAAGTAGATCATAACAAATTTGAATATACAGTATATAAATTCATTACAAATTTACACATGATCATTCAAGCAAAACCAGTAAATGTACTAAGAAGCTGATTTGTGAAAGATCTTACACAACAGGAAATGTAAGTAGAGGACACTGAAATAACTTATGCAGGACTTGATGACAGTTGCATTTGCATTATAAAAACACTATAAGATCAGAAACATGACTGCGATTTTACAACTGTATTTAAGAAGATGAATAGAAGATGTATCAGCATTGCAGTGATTTTACAAGAAAGCAAATACTGGCATGTTGTGGTTTGAAGTTACAGATATAAGACATATTTGGTTTGTGTATTAGGGAATCCTGGCTTCAGAAGTTCTATCAACTCCATTACTTTATGCACAAAGGGCTCTGAAGATCAGCCATGCATCCGGCAGAAAATTCAAGAATGACAAGAAAACAATTCTCCATTTTTTTTAAAGAATCAAATGTGGTTTCTTTGCCTTTATAGCAAAAGCCCTCCCTAGACTAAAAATCACAAAGAAAACTCAGTACAGTATCACCTAATTGATGTTAAGCATGGTTCAAATCCCACCTTGAGCTGAGGTGGAGGGGTTTGTGTTTACACAAACGGTGATTCAAATCTCACCTTGAGCTGAATTTATGAAAGTGAAGATGTGATGGATTAAAATCAAATATTATGTACATATATTTTGTGTTTTTCGTGCTTTTTGCGTAGTTTATCAGAAAACACTGTAGATTTGCAAATGAATTTTCATTTTACAAGGCTGTTATAAGAAAGTGAAGTTCATAGATTTTTTCCTCCCTCTCACTACCCTTTCATTTTAAGGAGTTTCATACTCCAATCCATTGTGGCTAGTCAGTGGGAGTATGAACCTACCAAGCTTTGTAATGAAGGTTTTTGTTTTGAAATGCAACAAAGCCATTGACATTATACTCTGCATTCCTCATGTCAAAATAAGATGCTGCTGTTCCATCATTTTTCCATTTGCCATCCAAGAATTCAGACTCTGCTGGGTTGCAGTGGTTTTTTTTTTTAATCAATACTTTGCAACCAATGTTGACATGTCTGAGAGAGCAGCGTAGTAATTTTACAATGGAGCCTTGTGGAATGGAATAGAGCACTCAAGGTAATGCTTTGAGCAACAGGCCTCAGCAGACTCACTGACTGCTTCCAACAGACTCAAGAGAGAGAAAGAGCTCAGAGCATAGAGGCGGAATTCTCTTTGAATTCAGAGGCAGGAGGAAACTATTGGTTACTGCTGGATAGATTGACAGTCACCCCATCCAAGAAAGGTCTCTTCCAGCCGCATCTCCTAGAGGCAGCATGGCATGCTACAATGATTCAAACAGTTCAAACTTTCTGTTGCAGAAACAAATTAATAATAACATCCTTTTAAAAAAGCAGGAATGGATGGAAACGTGCCTTTTACCAGTTCCTCTCAAAGAAGAGCCATGAAACTGATGTTTTTTTTTTGTCATCTCAGTTCCTTCAGTATGGAGATAAAAATGACAATGGTTTCAAACTTTTTGTCATATGAAGTACAAACACTAGAAGTAGGAAGTAAACTGTAAAACGAGTACATTACACTAATTGCATTATAAAATTGATGCAGCTACTGCATTTCTTATACTTACTTGACTATCAATCGATTTGAGGCCAGAATATTTGGGTTTATGATGAGTTGGTTTGTTGTTCTCAATTAGAACTTTATGCATGTGTTCATCTGTTTAAAATGAAGTTGAGATTGCACAGATTGAATTCTTAATCTGAAATACCTGTACTGTATTTTCCTTTCTGGAGGAGAAGTAGCAAAAGGCTTTCTGGTGCTGGCCTTCATGGAATATAATTAGAAAAATTGTGGAATTGACCATACATCTCTCCCTCGTGAGTGTTGCATGACACACACAAATGGAAGTGTTTTATGACTAGCACTTCTGCCTTGCTGGACTTTTCGCTATGGCCACTGTAGCTCTGCATTGTGTACTTGGAGTTGTGCACCAGGATTTCAGTCATTTAGTTCTGATTTGCCACCATTTCTTCAGTTCTGCTGTTCTTTTAGAACCCGCAGGGACTGAAGCCATTGTTGGTTTTCCTTTTATCTTGATTTGAATGCTTTTCCCCCCTAAAAATAATTGAATATGAATGATGCACTTATCTAAGTGAATGACATTGCGGAGTGTAAGAAAATGTATCAGTGTACATGAAGGAAGGTAGTTTTATGTTAAATGGTCTTTTAACCATTTTTTTCACCTGCCTAAAGAATGAATCATAAAACAAAATGTTTAAGGAAATCTGTATTCATTAGCATAACATAGCCTATATATATGAAATTTGTCTTCTTTAAGGAATTAAAGGGAAAAAATATTTGTAATACTTGCCAGGAGAAAATTAAAAATATCGTCATACTGAAAATGTGCTTTAGGGGTTTTTTTTTACTCCAATTCTTTTTACAAATGTATAATTTATCTGTGTCAAGAATTTTAGATCTGTTCCTTTGCTTTTCATTACATCCTCACCAGGGAGTTTGCAGAATACAAAAATCTCTTCAGCAAATTACTGTCATCATTTTGTTTTCACTGCATACAAAATGTAAGATGTTTTTAGGTATAAAGCTTTGGCACTAACTAGGAAACGGTATATCAGCAGGGGAAAACTTTCATGTTTGATTTGTTTCTGGTTCTTTTAGGGGATGCCTCTTTCATTTTTGGGCCTTTGTGTACAGTTTCTTTCATTAAATACAAAAGGGACCAGCTCTTTCAGGTTCTTTCATTTTGCTTCCTCCTATTCATTTTCTTTGGTGCCAGTAAGTAAGCCCTCGTCGTTTAGTCGTGTCCGACTCTTCACGACCCCATGGACCAGAGCATGCCAGGCCCTCCTATCTTCCACGGCCTCCTGGAGTTGTGTCAAATTCATGTTGGTTGCCTCGATGACACTGTCAAAAACTATTCTAAAACAGACGGGGCAAAGAAACAGAATCTATCTATCGAAAAGGAGACAACTAGCAACAACCATGACCGGACCAAGACAAATCAAAATGTTCAGAGCCGAGTCCCTAAGCAATCCTGCACCTTCCCTACTAATATATTCCCAACTATTTATGTCCTTTAGAGGGAGGACCCACTACTCTTGTGGAACACATCAAATGAAAGAGTGCTTACAATTTCCCTGTATCCTATATCAGAGCAGTTTTTACCACCCCAAACAGATAACATAGGAAAACCCTATAGGAACATTGTCAGCTTTGAAAGAAATATTTGTCCTCTCCAGAAGTCGTTCCCAGCTGCGAAGCTAGTGGCTCTTGCTGATACTGGACCTCTGGCTGGGCAGCAGAATATTGTGGAGCTCCTCTGAATGACCGTTGTGGTGGGTGAGCTGGGAAAGAGAACATTCTCCAAGGCATTAACCAGACCCTACACTTGAATGGCTTATTTTCCTCCTTACCTGCTGGAGTACCTTAGTGAAGAACAAGGTGCTGAAGGAAGTCCTGAGGAAGTGAGCAATGTAGCCTCTCCATTGGCCCATGAAGGAGTGATGTATGGGTGGGAGGAGAAATAGGAATGTAACAACCGTTTTTCGCAGGAAACTAATTAGCAGAATGAAGATCCAAAGATTTTTTTCCCTTCCCCAGTCAGCAGATCTGAGGGTATGGATGTTTCCTGCTCTAGTCACCCACCAGCCTGGTTCTCATCTGCTCACTGCACTCCTAACTTCCTTCACTCACTCTGTGGGCCCATTTCCTCCCTCTTCGGCATTCTCATTGGCTTCTGACAGCAGCCCTTTCAAGGTTACTGGCTGATGATATCATCCCTTTTAGTCCTATTATGGGGTTTTGCTCTGGATACAGATGTTTAGGTATTCATAAAAGTGTGATATGAATTGTCCTGAGAGTAAATATCATACAAGAAATTGAGTGCACACAGTGTATCATCTTAGTACTCCCTGATGGAAACTACTCTTCTCAAGGAAATCTGGAAAAGTCTCAAGCAGCTTCTACACTTCATGGGATTCAACTGTATATAGAGGGTGGGTGGATAGATGGCTGAAAAAAAACCAGTTGCACACATGCATATATTTCCACACACTTATAATTTGGTTCATTTTTTATTAAATTTTAAATTTATATTTATTTTTCCAAGAGTAAACAGGTATATTCTTTGTAAAAACTCTTAACAATATTTACTACGATCCATTTCTTAAATATGTCAAAAGATTTTGTATGTTTTCAAAGGTAAACCAGTCTAATACTCAAGTTAAGAGAGGTGATGTTTGTTTAAGAATTATACATAGGCTGAAATCCTGTTGCTTAGCATCTTACCCTGTTTCTCCAAAAATAAGCCCTACCCTGAAAATAAGCCCTACCCTGAAAATAAGCCGTAGTATGATTTTTCAGGATGCTTGTAATATAAACCCTCCCTCCAAAATAAGCCCCGGTTAAGTGAAAAAACCCCGTCACCATTGTGCAGCAACCAGAAGAAGTTGACATGAGTGTATTTGAATAAATGTACGTAGATTGTTCTACATTTTTAAAAAATCTCCTAAAAATAAACCTTAATACTTTTTTTGGAGCAAAAATTAATATAAGACCCTGTCTTATTTTTAGGGAAACATGGTAAATTGCACTAAAATAGGTCCATTGAATCACTGGGGCTTTGGTTAACTCAACTCCTCCATAAGTGCGATTGTTCCAAGTGGGTCTATTCCAGTTGTGACCTACTACACTAAAATAGGTTATAACTAGAGGCAGTATATTTGAGTCAGTGGAACCAATGGAGTATTTGACTCACCAAATCACCATTGATTCAATGGGCCTACTCCAGTGTGACGTATTTATACTAAGCAACAGGATTTTAGCCATAACATGGTCCTTTGCATTATTTGTATTACCTAATTAAAGTAGTGCTTAACTTTTATTGCCTAAAAATGTGGTGTTGAAAGACTGAAAATTAAGGGAACCCCTGTTGTTAGGTGATGAAGCCCATTAGTTAGATGCAGAAGGTCCAAGGTATAATCCCAGACATTTTAAGTCAGGACTGAGAAAGACCACATCTGAAACTCTGGAAAGCTGTTTCCATGTCTCAGTACAAGGTATTTTCCTGTGTTCGTAAAACACAAAGCAGTAGGACAAATTGGACCCTAGACACAGTTCCTTGTTATTGAACTACTTGTACATGTTTGTATAATTTAGGAATGGAAAGTTAATAAACTTTGTACGGTGTTTTGTTTTCAAATTGTTTTCGCTTACAGTACTTCCTTTCCACTCTCCACTGAATTCCCTAGAGAATGGCCTTCAACAATTTGCCTTCAGCAAATGCCTGTTGAGAGATTTTGGAAGTGAAGTTTGTGGAATCAACCCTGCAGCTAGAAGCTGTCACTTACAGTGTAGTCCTCAGACCACTGCTGCAAATCTTAGTAGCAGAGAAGAGAATTAAGGCTAATACAGAGAGGTGGCTTGCAGATCCAGGTTGTCAAAGTCACTTCTAATAAAACAGTGGGAAATGAGCTGTGTTGGTTCATATTCCCTGGTAAAGAATAATTGATTCTGTTCAGAACCCCATCATTTCCACATTGCTGCTTTCCTTTCCTGTAGACTTTTCACATCCTGAATTTTTACAAATCTGTCATGTTGGGTAGGTGTGTGATCCAGGTAGTTAATACTTCTTTGCTATAAACTTATTTGTTTTTTAGATTTATTTTATCCACTGGGCTCAAGGCAACATTCATGCTTCTCATCCTGACATGCTCACAACAACCCTGTAGGTCAGGATGAGAGAAAGAACAGCTCATCCAAAGTCACCACAAGTTTCAGGACTGAGTAGGAATTTGAACATGGGATGTTGATTTTTTTCTAAACCCAAGTCTGTCACTTTAGCCACGACACCACAGTGTTTTTTCAATGTATAGGTCATCTGGTGGGAATGGATGTATCTCAAATGTAGACATCCAAAGTATAGCTGATTTAACGTAGAAAGATGCAGTGAGCAGAAGTTGGCTGAATTCCTGGTGTGTACACCATATGCACATGCAAGATCGTATACCAAACCTACAATGCAAAGTTTCTTGATAATTAAAGTTGCTAAGCTATGATTCATATCATTTGTGATAGTTGATGGTTGGGATCTTGTTTTTGTGGGCTATTGGAAATGGTACATACTATATGCCAGTGCTAGACTTGACTCCTTAGTTTCCAGAAATGGACCTATGAGTAGTTTATGGATATTTTTCTTCAATATCACGAGATGTTGCTTACACTGGGTGTCTCCTTACACATCTCTGGATTGTTTAGGTCTTTCCTAATAGGAATGGAGCTCGTTCTAGCTTTTCCTAAAGTGCGATGGGTACCGTAAAAGTAGTAATTATTTTCACTTAAGAATGGCAGGGCACAGCCAAACAGGCATTCTTTGTCCCATTACAAAGCCCAAATTTGGAAGTCTGGAATGCTTTACACTTGAACCCACATTGGTCAAAATAAGCAGTCCAAACTATACTGCAAAACCGAAAACTAAGGAACAACATGCACCATAACATATATCTCAACATACAGTATTTATGTATTGCTTTCCTATTAAAATATGTAAAGATGTTTACAACTTCAACAAAGCTAATTTTATTGTTGTTCACTCTACTTTTAATTTTTTTTACAAAGTGAGAAAGTAAAATGCTCAAAAGTCTATGGTCTCCATGCCAAAGCTGAACTAAACTGCATTAACCCAAATCCAAGTACCTTTATATCTGTTTAATTACAGTGGATATATTTTTGATTAATCATTAAGTTAAATATGAGATTTTATAATCTAGAATGTCCTGATAAAACGATGTCCTAATTTTGAATTATACTTTGGTGAACACTTGAACTGTCACATGTAAAACCTGAAAACCTAAATTTAATCAATGTTTTATTCTGTATTTAACCCTATAGCAATATGTGTGTTTGAAGGCAAAACCTACTTTGAAAGTGAAAGAGAAACCTTACATTCAAACTCAGGGGACTGCATTCTGTTTGAATGCAAGGTAAGAGCATTATTTTCTTCCTTGTACTCCTGACCTTACTTTGTAATTAAATATTTTAAAACTATTGTAACAGTGTTCTTAAATGCTTTGTTTTGTTTACCAGTTTTTAAATCAAGTGTCTAAAGATAAACGCTTTGAAGAAACTGAATATTTCCTTTTAATAAGTTATCAAGGTTTCAATTGCTCTTCTAAAATTATTTGTGAGCTTCGATGAGGTGACACAAAAATTAAATAAATACAGTGGGGTCTCGACTTACGAACGGCTCGACATACGGACGTTTCGACTTAAATCAAGAAAGATAGATGCTTTGAAGAAACTGAATATTTTCTTTTAATAAGTTATCAAGGTTTCAACTGCACTTTTAAAATTCTTTGTGAGCTTTGATGAAGTGACACAAAAATTAAATAAATAATCTGAAGCTCACTAGAGCAAACCTCAAGTTTACACTGCATTCTCTGCCATATCTCCCACTGTGGAGAGAAAAAGAAGTTAAGCAGGGTAATCTCACATTTTATTATTCATGGGATTTTTGATCCTTAAATGCAGAACATTTAGTTTTTTTAACTTTGCTTCTCTTTGTCCCAGCCAAGTGCTGCTGGTAAACTCCATATCCTATCAGATGTGTTGTGTACATATCTTTGTGTTAATTTTGCAAAATATTTTCATTAACCTATGGGAAATGTAGATTCGACTTAAGAACTTTTCGACCTGAGAACTGCCTTCCAATACGGATTAAGTTCGTAAGTCGAGACCCCACTGTAATCTGAAGTTTACTAGAGCAAACCTCAGGTTTACACTGCATTCGCTGCCATATTTCACACTGTGGAGAGAAAAAGAAGAAATTAAACAGGGTAATCTCACATTTTATTATTCGTGGGATTTTTTATCTTTAAATGCAGAACATTTAGTTTATTAACTTTGCATCTCTTTGTCCCATCCAAGTGTTGCTGGTAAACTCCATATCTTATCAGATGTGTTGTGTACACATCTTTGTGTTAATTTTGCAAAATATTTTCATTAAAATTTATGTAATGTAGAGTATGTCTAGGGTTGGCTTATTTTAAAGGTTAAATTTAACATACATTGGATTCTGTTCAGATTTAGTCACAGGCTGGATAGACCCGTCCAACTGAAAGTGGAATCCTTAGATGTGCCAGCCGTAGAGGGTTTGGAATGGGCAAAAGCTGCATCTCCTATGTACAATTGTCCTATGCTGGCAGAAACACTCTTATGCCAGCAGACCTCAGAAACTTGTCGCCAAAAGGATTTGCAAGCAGAAACGCTTTGTAGGCTAAGATCTGTTGAAATAAGATCCAAAAAGGAGGAAGAGAGTGGGCATTGTGAAAGAGAAAGGGACACATTATGCCAGATCTGAATCTTGTACTGGTATAAAGTTTGGTCAAGGTGGAGGTAGTACATTCCAGAATCCCTAGGCTGGGACTGATTTGGATTCAAAATACCTTCTGCTGATCTTGTGTCAGCTCACTTGGCTCTCTGCCATCTATTCAAGGCTATTTAAGATTACACTGCCATCTATTTAAGGCTATTTAAGATTACACTGCTTAGTCTGGATCCAATCTTCCCTTTTAAAGCCTGAAAAAAGAAGTTAGGTCTTTTAAAAAAAAGAAAAGAGGAAAAGAATTAGATTTCAGTTATTACTGCACATAGCATCCTTTCAGTTATACTTGCTTACTGTTCCTATTATGAAACTTTTAATTTATTGCTATTCTTTGGTACAGCCACTGCAAATTTTAGTAGGAGACTAGATTGCCACTAGTATAGTGACTCATATACAGTACTGCAATGTAGCTGGTGGAGAACTCAGTGGCCATCTGGCTATGGAGTGAGATTTTGGGAGTCTGGTTCCCCACTGTGCCTCTTGCCAGTGGAGACAGCCTGTGTAGCCTTGGGCTATAGTCCCAGGAGAGCTTCAGAAGAATAGAATAGTAAGCCATTTCTGAGCAATCTGAGCACCTTAAAAAGGGTTACCATAAGTCAGAATTGACTGGATGGGACATGATCATTATTGTATGTATGTATGTATGTATGTATGTATGTATGTATGTATGTATGTATGTATGTATGTATGTATGTATGTATGTATGCATGCATGCATGCATTTATTTGTTTGTTTGTTTGTTTGTTTGTTTATTTATTTATTTATTTATTATTTGACTTCAACCCCGTCCCTCTAGACAGAGTCTATTCATTGAATAATCTGTTTTCTTAACCCCAGAACTGTTTTTATTGAGTATGATACCTGAAAATATAGATAAGTCAAAGAATTATATAGTTATACACATAGTTACGGCAGCTAGAATTTTATATGCTAAAAATTGGAAAAGATCAACGGTACCGAAACAAGAAGATCTTATTGAAAAGATACGGGAAATAGCCGAAATGGACATTTTATCAGAAGTCATGAAGGACTATCCCTCGCAAAAGGCAACAGAAAGATGGGATCTATTTAACAAGTGGACAGAATCAAAAGGCAGCTTGTGAACAGTACATATTGAAAGGAGAACTGAATCTAGAAGGCAGAAAAGAGTAAATAGAATAATTTAAAATCTTGATATGGCAATAGGTACAGAATGGATGAAAGTATGTTATTGTCTCCCCTCTTCCTCATCAATCCCAATTCCCTTTTCCTTTCTGTTATCCCTTATAAAAAATAAAAAGTACAAAAAAAATAATCTGTTTTCTAATCATATTTTTACTAACTGCTGTAAATAAAAGTAAAATATACTTCATTGTTAATGAAATTAAATAACAATATTGCTTCACTAGGGCTACAAGATGAAACGTGTACTCAAGCTGGATTGTCCTGCCTTGAACTGTCCTGAATCTCAACAAATCTCCCTGTCTAACAGTTGTTGCAAAGTTTGTAAAGGTAAGACAAAAGAAAAGATAAAAAATTAGTGCCATGATAATCTTCCTTCCTTCCTTCTAATGGACTAGCAGATCAATCATTGCAGGTGTGCGAATGTGTGTTTTTGGACTACAACATCCAGAATTTCTCGGGCAGATTTGTACAAAATCACAGTTTTGCACATTTCTATTTCAGAGTTTCACCCCAGGATGCAGAGAATTGACACAAGAAACACATTGTGTTTAGGCTCAGATGGGGGGGGGGAAGAGTGAGAGTGAGCAAGCCTAATGCCAGTGTATTCAATCCTCTACTGTGTGTTCAGTCCTCAGCAATGTCAGGGTTCTAGACATCTATGGAGCTGAACTAGAGATGGGCATAAACTGTCAGTTTAACAGTTCATAATGGTTTGTTCTTCAGGTGCACAGGTGTCCTGGAATTCCCCACCCTGCCTCCTCCTCCTCTGAGTGGATGTCTGCCAAAGGAATTGGGGGAGGGAATATGGGGTACTCGTGGAAGACTTGTGTGTCCAAAGAACAAACAATTACAAACTGCTGAATCGGTGGTTCATGCCTGTGACGATTGCCCCACGTCACTCATGCCACTCATAGTCATGATCTAATTTGCATGAGCCCATGAGAGCATTGGAGGGGCCGAATCAACTGCTATATGAAGGTTTGGCAGGAGGAGGGGGAGTCAGACAGTCAGAGAGAGATACACACACACAAACACATATACACAGAGATTATTATTATATTATTATTATTATTTATTTAATTTATACCCCGCCTATCTGGTCGGTGAGGACCACTCTAGGCGGCTAACAACAAAAACAATACAATAAAAATACAAATAAATGATTCTAAATGATAAAAGCACTACATTACATTACAGTTAAGATAGAGGGACGTGGTGGCGCTGCGGGCTAAACCTCAGAAGCCTGTGCTGCAGGGTAAGAAGACCAAGCAGTCGTAAGATCGAATCCACGCGATGGAGCGAGCTCCCGTCACTTGTCCCAGCTCCCGCCAACCTAGCGGTTTGAAAGCATGCAAATGCAAGTAGATAAATAGGGACCACTTTGGTGGGAAGGTAACAGTGTTTCGTGTCTAAGTCGCACTGGCCATGTGACCACGGAAGATTGTCTTTGAACAAACGCTGGCTCTATGGCTTGGAAACGGGGATGAGCACCGCCCCCTAGAGTCGAACACGACTGGGCAAAAATTATCAAGGGGAACCTTTACCTTTACCTAGTTAAGATAAATAGATAGAGAAGGTGGTAATTATATGGCAAGAGAAAAATATGTATTGAGATACCTGTTAATGATTTACTTGTGTACAATGTTCATCTGAAGAACTTCTGTGATAATTAAATTGGCTTCACTTCAATAAATAAGTTATGTTTGCATTCACAAAACAAGTGTTTTGACATACTTCATTTATATTGTGGATGGAGGTAATCCACTGGTGGCAGTGAGAGGAAAACACAACTGGAGGCTTTGTGAGGGCACAACACGTAGGTGCCACAAAGGGTGAACATCACTATGCCCATCTCTAGTGTTGACCAATCAAGAGAATCCCGCAGGCCTAGAAGGATTGGGATTTTCCCTCCAAGGAAAGCACAGCTTTATCAAGAGCTGACCTGGTGGGAAGAGTCTGCTTCTACAGCATATAAAGAGAGTGGTCCCATTGCTGTGGTCATTTTGTCCTATACGAGCTTCTCCATCCAGCCACAATGCAGTGTTACGTTTCTTGTTATGGATGCACATTGGCTGATGGTTGGTGGTCTCAGGCATTCAGTGCTGACATAAAATAAATCCTTATTCTCCTAAGCTTTGTCTTAAGCTTGTGCCATTCCAAAAAAAAAAAGAAGTCACATTCAGGTCCTGTGTTGCCAAGGTACAAAATGTGTAATTAGTGACAGAAAAAAGAAGATAAAAATAAACACAAAGAATGTCATATAACAGAAGCACAATAAGATCTTGCAATCTATCAAAATAAACTCAAAAGACATTTTCTTGTATGCATTTCAATTATTTAAATTACTCTGGGGAAGTGTTTATTATGCTTGCGCTATCTTTTCACAGAGACCACACAGGCGTGACAAGCACAATTGGCAGGTTTCATGCTTATTATCAGAACATTCATATGTCTGTGTGGGTCAGCTTGAATTCGCCTATCATGAGCTGCTTACAGATCCTTCTGAAAGCCTAACTCAGTACAGAATTAATCATCTGTCCTTTTTTCTGTTATACTGCTTCATAGCCAAAGGGAACCTATTGATCAATAGAGAAGCTCTGACCTTTGTCTCCTATGATGTCTAGTTTCTGACACAAACTAATAAAAGACAAGAAATCCTGGCCTAAAGCAGACTGTATGACTTATTTGTGAGGAAGAAGGAATTGGACAGAAACTGTCATGGAACCAAATACTGCTACCTATAAGGAGGTTGGTCTATTTTAAGGAGAAAGACAAGTATTTAATTAAAATTAAAGAAATTTTAAATAAATACTTCTGAATAGACATGCATACAACTGAGCTGTGCTTTGTATCCTTGGAGGGAAGATGTTCAAATGGGCAAAAATTACATCTGGGCTTCCCTACTTTGCCTTGGTCGCTTCCAGTTTGTTCTAAGTTTTAGCCTTTGCCCTAGCCCCAAGTACTTTTGACATTTGCCTTCCAAGACCCTTCCCAAGTTGGAATTTGGCTCTGAACCTAAAACAATACTGTATTCCCACTCCTGTCATAGATGTTGGAAAGGATTAATATACATATGGGGTTGGATCTAGTGGCTGAAATCCTATTGCGTAACTTGTGCCTGCATAAGGGTGATGATTTCTGTTGTGTCTTGGGATCAACCTTGCTGTGTCCTTCCAGGTTTTCGCAGTAGCCTGGTGGATGTAACAGCAGCTGTCACAGATAACTTCCCTCCCTCCAATTAGCTTGGATGTGGGTAATTGGGGTGGGGGCGGAAACCTTCAACTAAAGGCGGGTTTTTTTAATGTATATATACATGTGTGCATATGCATGTGCTTTTATCCATTAAATCGTGTGGAATAACTGCTGTGTCCTGACTCTTCTTCGGGCACTCAGCGCCATGACCTAACACTGGCGACGAGGATGGGATACAATTCCGTGAGCTCCAGTTTCCAGAAGGGCTACTGGGATAGCCGCCGTTGGTAAGAAATGGAGGCACAGGGATTTTTGCCACCGTTTGATTTGAAGTGCCCCGAGCTGTGGGACTCTTGGGCCGATGGCTTCGCCTATTATCTGGCATTCCAGGAGATTACAGAGGAGGACAAGAAAAAAGCACTCTTTGTCAGCTCGTGTGGGGCGGAGGTCTTGGACTTGGTGAAAGATTTAATTCAACCAAAGCAGCTAATAGAAGCTACTTGCCAAGAACTCGTGCAGGCTTTAGCAGATCATTTGACGCCACAACCATCTCAGCTGGCGCGCCGCTGGGACTTCCGTAAGCGTTCACAGTGTGTCGGGGAGTCCGCAGTGGAATTTTTGACTGCCCCGCGTCGTCTTGCTCGCAGGTGTGGGTTTGAGAGACTGAACGAGGTACTCTTAGATCAGTTTATTTTTGGCCTATGAAGTGAGAAGCTATCAAGTAAGATAGTCATGCTTCCCCAATGTGATCTAGCGAAGGCAGTGGATTTTGCAACAGCCTGGGAGAGGGGCCATTCGGGGGACGACCAGCAGTCTTCCCGGTGCCTGGGAACCAATCAGGTCGCTCGAGAGAGGAGCACAAGGGACTCAGAGGGAGACGAAGTCTTGCAAATGTGCCAGGCCCCGAAAGGAAAGAGAGTCCACCCAACACCTGCTCAGGACTGCCAGCTGTGCGAGCTGTGGGGAGAAGCACGAGCGTCGTTTTTGTCATTTTCGGGACGTTTCTTGCCACAATTGTGGAAAAAGGGGTCACCTCGCCCGTGTCTGTGGTTCTAGATCCACTGGAAGACGCACAGGGGGCTGGAAATCAGTACATGCGGCGGAGCTGCTAGAGGCGGAATTGCATTCCCTTCCTCTACAAGTCCACTCCAGGTGTTATGCCTTCCCAAACCTTCCTGTTCTGC